AGAAAAGAAATATACTACTATGAAATTGATAGACCCCCCCCTTAAAAATATATATAATTAAGTTTCAGCTACAGCAGTGCTTCCCAGCCTTGGCTCCCTAGATGCTCCCAGGCTGAAACACCCAGAAGCCTTTGCCACTAAGCGGGAGGGCTGGAGTTTCTGGGAGCTGCAGTCCAAGAACATCTCAGGAACCACTGAGCTGTACGAACCCCACAGCAGGGGGAAGTTTCATTTTAAAACTCAGAACTGTGGAAGGATGATTAAGTAGTAGTGTGTGACAGGGTTTCACATCATCACAAATCACATTCCAAAATCAGAGGAGGGAAGAGACCTCCAGCACTTCACAGTAGTTACACTATAAGTGTGATCAAAGCTTCAAAAAAATTACTGCAAGCCAGCTCTTTAAAAGCTAAAAGGAAACAGGCATGCACTGCTTGTACGCAATGTTCTCTAGATTTTGGGGAATCAATGGGCAAGTGGATCATATAAACAATCGATAACTGGGTTACTGGAAAAGCAGCCATAATCTTGCATTTACTCAAGAGCAAGTTTTCAAAACTTGCTGCGAAATCTTTCCCCTCTCCAGATCACTTTGGCGCCCTTCCACTACCAACACGTCAAATGGCCTGTTTACGGGTGGCAAAAATCATTTCCCAACCCCAACCATTAAACACCTTTGGGAAACAAGGACCAAAGGTATAGCCTAGCCAAAGTCTTATTAAAATACTGTATTTTCAGTGGGAACATAATTCAATTTTGGTTGATCCACATTGCTTTGCTTACTTCAACATCTGGTGACCTAGCCCTGTCTCACTGCGTGGGAACCCCCATGGCTCAGCCTCCCTGGCATTTTGCCTTAAAGCCATGTCTTGATGGCATCACTAGTTCCCCAATGTTTTACAATCTACATAAAGATACACTACTCATAGTTTGTACTAGTAGCGCTCAGTAGAACACAACAAAGTAGAACACAACAGAAGCAGCTTAGGGCCAAGATCCAAGCAGAAAAATCAACTTCTTCTATAAATATATTTCTCCTGTTTATTCATTATGAATGACTTCAAAAAATTGACACGGCTGTCTAGAGAGATGCCAGAGTTTTGTTTAATGCGTCTCTGCATGTTGTTGCTTTAAAATTGAAAGATGAGCTTTCATATGAAATTGGTTTACTCTCAGAACTCAAGCGTGGTAATAGAATAATTGTTCTTTCAGAGTACCCTATTGTAAGTAGGTTAAAATAAATATCAGGGAGCAGTAAACGAGTGATTTAATATCTCCCACTGTCCCTTGCTGAGAGTGAGCACTACTATGGGATATTATTTCTCTCTAGAGCCCTTCAACCCAGATGCAAAATGCTTTCGAAACCTTTGACTGCTCATTTTCTGTTATTCTCCCAGTTCTTTTAATCATCATCATCATCATCATCATCATCATCATCATCATCATCATCATCATGTTAGAACTGCAGAGCTAAAAGGGACCCTATGGGTCATCAAATCCAGCCCCTGGTCAAGGAGGTGGAGAGGGGAATAGAACTCTCAACCTCTAGCCCTGTACCCAAATGTCTGAACAGCTATCCAGCAGTTCTTCGAATAATATGAAACATCTGAACTTACGTGGTCCCAGCAGATAACCGGCACTATTCACAGTCCATCCCCTTTTCTCTTTAGCCTTTCAGAAGGGAAAATGGGGAGAAGATTACAGTATTTTTTTGTCATTAATACACAGTCATACTTTTAAAATACACAGATATTGTTTTGGGAAAACAGATACCTGAACACCAGGGTTTTGAAGACAAAGCAAACATCCTAACTGTGACTGTAACTATTTCAAGAGTTTACTTTTCAGCTAAATAATGTAATTCAATTTTGGTTGATGCACAGTGCTTTGCTTAAAGCATAACTGGAACCCCTATTGCATCGATAACATAAACTACACTATACACACAAACACACACACGGGGGGGGGGCTCAGAGGAATCCCAATGTGTGTATTGTGTTTATAGTGTATATATATGTGTGTATACATTAAATTGACACATCAGTAACAAAGCCTCTCTCACACTCTGCTAGTTCCCACATCCTTGCCAAAAGGTTCTGGCCATTTGGAAAGGCCAGGCTCCGGGGTTCCTCCTCTTCAGCCAAGGACGGGTCCCTTCGCACCTGGATAAAAAAGTTGCCTTTATCTTTCACATTGCCAGCATCTGAGGCCTCTCCTTCTCTTCTTGTTAGAATTGTGAATTTTGCTTTGTTCAGCTGGTGACCTTCTACTTCTTGTGATCTGATTACCTGGTGTCCTTCTCTGTGTGTGTTTTCTGAAGTCTTACCTACATGCATCTTTCCAATCTTGTTGGTGGTTTCCTCCCCCCCCCCCATTGTT